TTATATACCTACAACCTAAAGTACATATAAATAATTTATTAATAGAGAAACTTTTATAATAAGATTGCTATTAAGACTAATAAATGTAGAACCTATATAGAATATAGTAAATATAGATATTTCTCCTACTGATTCTTTGATAATAAGCTGATAGATTTTATTGATAAGAATATAATATCTATTAAAATTTAGAATACAACTAATAAGGACTAGGCTCGAATTGTTTACTTCTTGTTAAATTCTTTGATTGTTTTTAAGAATACAATTACTGTATACAACTATTAGATTACAACTTAAAAGCCCAAAGCATTGGTTTTAAGAGAACTTTGAAAACTAGAAATATACAGCATCAATGTAATAATATAAGGTAAATAATGCTCTTAAAAATATCTTAAAATATAGATATATTTTAAGAAAACAAAGAGAGATAGCAGAAGATAAAGAAAGACAACAGTAGTAGTAGTTTTGGTACCTTATCTACATTTATCTCTTGGCTCTGTTTCTATAAGTAGTTTTAGTACCTTACTTATATTTATCTCTTAGGCCTTGCTCGGCAGGCCACAATAAAAAAAATTTGCAATTTTTCTTAAAACAGCATATTTCTGAATCTACAAATAGAATAAGGATTAAAGTACAATGAAAAGGTATAGTCATATGGAGAATACTGCTCTCCTCATTATAGCTCAAAGAAAAGTCAAGAGGAGCATTTGTTGTAGTTAAGTAGGAAATTTAGTGATGTTGCAAAATATAGAGAAAGTGGGACCACCATATTTTGCAACATTACTAATTTCCCTACTTAACTACAACAAATGCTTCTCTTGACTTTTATTTAGGCCAGAATGAGGAGAAGGGTATCTACTATAGGACTATAAACTTTATTTTTCATTTAATTCTTATTCTGATCATAGATTCAGAAATATGCTATTTTAAGAAAAATTGCAATTTTTTTTTATTGTGGCATGCTGAACAGGGCCTTAGCTTTATTTCTAGGAGTTATTTTTTTATATAAATATTATAATATAAATACTATTTATATAAATTAGTTCCCTCATTCTTCTTAAGTCCTTACTTAGGAATTAATCTTTTATCGTAGGAGGAG